TCAGGCTGGTTTCGAACTCCTGAGCTCAAACAATCCACCCGCCTCGGCCTCCCAGAGAGCTAGGATTACAGGCGTGAGCCACCGCGCCCGGCCAGGGAAGGTTTTTAAAGCCTGCAAACTGTTTAGAATGAGGGAGAGAAGGTAGACACACCCAGCCCCAGCCAGCAATGGGAGGCAGCATGCCAGAAGGAGGTGGCCCCCCAAAAACCAAGCCCTGTGGCTGCCTTTACCCCACGTCCCTGAGGTGGACACCCAGGCAGGGCTCAGGTGCTTCCTGAACGCAGATGGTGTTTGCATTTGTGTTCCATCTTCTCTTTTCCTCACTTTTTGAACTTGATATGGGATCCCTGGTTCTAGCAGCAGGCACTGGTCCCAAAAACCAACAAGGCTTTATTTTTACTCATTCTTCCAAGTCAATTTAGACAGATAACTAGATGGTCTCACATGAATCGAGATGACTGGGCAATTTTATACATAGCTTTAATTTTTTTTATTTTAACTTTTTTAGAGACAGGGTCTTGCTATGTTGTCCAGGCTGGTCTCAAACTCCTGGCCTTAAGTGATACTAGCACTTCAGCCTCCCAAGTCATGGGATTACAAGCATGAGCCACCATGCCCAGCTACATATGCGTAGCTTTAAACAGTTACCCCTATGCTTCAGATGTGTTTACTTCCAGGCTTTACTAAAAGTGTCCCAATTCCACGAGCCCTCCCTAAACTCCTTCTCTCTCACAGAGTGATGCCAACGGGACTGCAAAGCCGCCCTTCCTCAGGTACGTGTGACGTCCTGGTGAAGCTCTTCAGAGTGGGGTTGCCCTCCCTGTTGGATGAATGGCCTAGAGCAACCTCCAGAAAGGCCTTCAGGGCCCAGCCCAGGTGGCTGATCCTGAGGAAGCAGACTGGCCACCTGCTTGCTTGAGACCACCCTGGGAGTAGGGCCCGGGACAGCTTCAACCTGCCCTAAAGTGGCTCTCACACGACCCCTCCCCAACAAGGCACTGAGAGGCGTGGGCTCTCCTCTCGATGTCTAAAACTCTGGATCATCCTATAACAAGTGGCGTGGAGGGAATGAGCTGGAGTGAGACTCACGTTCGGAGCACACAGCCGGGGTTTACACCCAGTGGGGAGGTGGTGAGCAGTACACCCTTACCGACCAAGAACCGTGAATATTAGCACTTCTAAAATCGAATTCTTGTCTTGGAGCAGTATTTCTGCAGATATTCTTTTTTCTGCCCCACAGTGGAGAAAACCCCTTTGCTACTGTGAAACTCCGACCGACGGTGACCAATGACCGATCAGCACCCATCATTCGATGAGAAGACAGCCAAGGATTCTTCTGGTTCCTCTCATGTTAAGTTCTCACTTGCAAATGATAGGTGTATATTGTCTGATGTGTGCTGTGACTCCCAAAGCTTCACCAGAGGGTGCCTGATTTTAAATGTATTCTACTTGAGCAAATCAATACATTTTCTCAATTTAACATAGTTGGGTTTACACATTTCTGTCTTTAAGATAAATAATAGTTTAGTGACCAACTCATTTAAAATATTTTCTTCCTGTTCTGTTCAAGAAACAATTTAGTTCCAATCCTTACTGTACCCTTTTTTATTGGCCTAAGAATTTTTTTCTTAACAGCCAGAACATAAGGGATAGTCTGTGCTTTCATGACTGGCTTTCTGCACCGGAATGCAAATGAGACCGGTTTTACTTTATAAAGCATGTGCTTTTAAGTAGCATTATGATGTTTATCTAAAGGAAACATTGCATAAGTTTGCATCTTAGCATGCAAATCATAATTTTAAGCAATATAAATTATGAAAATATATAATTTTTTAACTTAATTTTAAACTTGTTTAATCAAATGTAGAGCTGCACAAGATGGAGAAATTCCCACCCCTTCCCTGATTTTGACAGAGCTGAATAGTGCTGAGACATTCGCCTGCCCTCATCACAGCCATATTAAGCATTGATGAAATAATCTCCAAGAGCTACTGAACTTGGTAGTGAGGAGTTGCTGACCGGATGTGCTGCAGGCCAGGTGGTGCCACACGCTGGCCAGCACATGGGAAACATGCAAGTCTGAGGCCTCCACGTGTGGGCTCCCCAGGTGCTCTCACTAAGCTAGCTGACCAAAGCTCCGTCCATCACTAATTCACTAGGAAGCTTCCTGGGGTCCCAGTTTTTCCATGTTTGAATTAGGTACTGACTTGAAAAGGGTGCTTATAAAGCCAGGGTGACCTCTGGTGGCTGGAGGGGGGTTGGTCTTTCAACCCAGCAGCCATCACAAGCCCAGAACCTGGGCCTCTGGTGTAGCATCAGGCCTCCGCACTGGCTGCCGGGGGAGTTGAGGTTGAAAGTCACCCCCGGGCCACTTAACCTTGTTTGCTGGGACTGCTAGAACCGTTGCTTGTCACAGCTCCTTTGGTCTCACCATAAATGTACCATTTTCTTATCTGCCTGAAATTGGTCCCAGTCAAATGCAGGTAAAGCAGTGTATGTGGGTAGCACTTCAGGCTTCTCCCAGCTGAGTCAAGCAGTGTCACAGTCTGTCTCTCCCAGCAGGACAAACCAGGTGATCGCATGAAGGGTTGCTGACACAGAACCGTGTTAACACCCACCACCAGGCCTGGTCATGCAGGTGCTGCGGCCAGAAAGAGAACTCAGCCCACGCACCCCTCTCCCTTTCAGGACGGGCAGGGCTGGGGAGCGTGGCGGGGGCACACCCTGGCCTTTAGGGGAATTTTCTGGCTTTGTTAGAGGTAGAACAGGGCCCACGATTATTGGATGCCATCTGCTGCCCCCCCTGGCTCACCCAGCCCCGGGGTCCACCTCACAGACCAGAGCCACAGGGTTGCTCACCTGCTCCCATGGGAGGGAAGGCTGGCCTTGTCCTCGGCACATGCTCTGTAAATGCCAAGGTGTTATGTTTAATAAAAATTTGAAAACAAGCACATCTTCTTGAGCTGTAACTGCCTGTTGAGAAATACAAAATGATGGAGGCTGGCAATGGCACATTGGTCTCTAGGTGGCGGGGTGCAAACACCGAACAGGCAGAACCAGGTAAACAATGGTATGAATCTCATTTATTGAAAACGTTATTTCTCACCTTTCTCAAATTGAAGACTGCAAAAAATAAAAGCAGTGCTTCACTGAGTTGTCATGAACCTCGGAGAAGCAGCGCCGCCTTCCACACTGGCACGTGCCACCTCTATCCTGCCTTGCTTTACAAAACAGTCCTGAAGCTTAATCAAATAAAACTATTGTACACGACATTTACATTAGAAAAAGACATCTGGGCATAGGAAAGCCGGTGTGTTGTTCCCTTTAACTAAAGGTTGCTCCACAGTTGGGGCATCTTCGCTTCCTCAAGGCGAAACAGCAGATGAAGCCGAAGGGAAACAAGATGATGGCCAAGAAGATGCCCAGGAAGGTGAAGCCGTCCTCCAGCACCCCGACCCTGCGAGAGCGAGAGGGGGCAGCGGGTTAGGGCTGGGCAGACCCCCGACCTCTCCCACCCGGGAGCGCCCTCCCTCGGCCCTGTTCATGGAGGGAATGGCCACCAGCCCTTAGTCACTACATATAATACATAAGTCACTACATATAATAAGAAAAGGGGGAGAAAGAAAACTGTTGAAAGGCAAGATCCATCAGCTGCCACAAGTTGCCACACATTTTTCTCTCTCAAAGGTAACAATCCATCAAGTCTTACATCTCTGAAGACAGGACCCAAAAAAAACAATTTTAAAGGTTTTTTTCTTTTCAATGTTGTAAAGTTTTAGATTTTTCTGACTCCTGGGGGAAAATTCCAGAAAAGTGATATAGTAAGGTCTGGGATTTTGTTTAGTTTCTGTTGTTTCTTTGGTGGTTGGGGGTGGTGGTTTGTGAACTAGAATCAGCCCCGTCCGCACACTGTCTAGAAGGCCACTTGAGCAATGTAACCTCAAAGCTGCTTCCTCCAGAAAGTCCAGTTTACGTTCACCTTCAATGTGCATAACGTAAGTCCAAGACCTCCCCCAAACCCTATGCCAGTGAGCACAGGTTCGGTGACCTGCGGTCATCGGATTCAAGGGTCATTTTCAGAGGCCCCAAAGGTGGGAAGCCAGACGCCATGTGCTCAGCTCAGCGGGCTACTTCTGCAAAGTTCAAGCTTTACTCCCACCGGACAGGCTTGAACAAACTCCTCCCCAGGCCTCAGCACTGGAGTGGGGCCAAATGAGGGGCAAGAAACAAAATGGGGGGTGGGGGTTAATCTCTAGGAGGCGGCAGGAGCTGGTCCAGAGGGGGAGCGGGGAGGCTGAGTGGAGCCAGCAGGCAGGGGCAGGATCAATGAAGGCACTCAGCAAGGACCCCACCCATGCCCCCACCCCAGCACCCTGGATACTTCTAAGCCGCTTTCTTCTCTGGCACCCACCCCTGCCGCATGCCTGTCGTCTTAAGTGCTGCTGACCACCCTTTATGCCCACAACGGCCTGGACACAACTACAGCTCCCTCCGCCCGTGTGGGGAGGAAGCTCACAGCCTACCAAAGACCAAGCAAGGACAGTGACGCACCAAACACTGAGGGCTTTCCCAAACCCAAATCGCCACAGTGGCAGCTGCTAGTGTCCCTGTCATGTGAGGCCAGCCGCTGCCAACACCTCACTGGGCAAGGCTGCAGCCTGAGCCCACAGCCTTGTGGAGCACCACAGGCCACGCCTGCCCAGAAATGAGACCCTTATCCCGCCCTGCTGCTCTGGGGATCGTGGAAAAATAAATCAGATGTTCTAAAGTCTGGCTTTCAGTTGCTTAAAAAAAAAGTCTAGCGGTGGCTCACGCCTGTAATCCTAGCACTCTGGGAGGCCGAGGCGGGCGGATTGTTGGAGTTCGAAACCAGCCTGAGCAAGAGTGAGACCCCGTCTCTACTAAAAATACAAAGAAATTAATCGGACAACTAAAAATACATAGAAAAAATTAGCCAGGCATGGTGGCACATGCCTGTAGTCCCAGCTACTCGGGAGGCTGAGGCAGGAGGATTGCTTGAGCCCAGGAGTTTGAGGTTGCTGTGAGCTAGGATGACACCACGGCACTCTAGCCCGGACAACACAGTGAGACTCTGTCTCAAAAAAAAAAAAAAAAAGTCTAACTCAATGCCTGCCTACCTCCCTCCAAACCATGCAGGGCGGAGCTGCCTTAAATCTAAGATGGCCAGGAGTTCCAGCAGCATTGCCCAAGGAGATTGTCCCAAGACGCTAGTCCCCTGATAAGCTCTGCAGGAAAGAAGAGGGGGATTCTTTGGTCAGACAATTTTGGGAAACTTCTTCCCCCTCCTGAAGAGTTGCTGTGTACACTGATTCACGGAGGCTCGGAGAAGTCCTGCAGTCCTTTGCCGAGCCATGTTCCCAAGCCCGCTGCGACAGACTGGACTGTGGGGCACACAGGGAAGCCCTGCTCTAAGGGAACAGTGATCCGGCAAAGTGTACCTTCCTAACCAGCACAAGGTCGTCAGGCCACCACCCTACAGCTGCTCAGCCCTACCTATGGCTGCCCCTGCAGGATGCCTCCACCCTGCTGTGCCCAACCCAGCACGCCCTGCCCCAGCTTCAGGGCCTTCCCTGCCCAGGGCGCAGGCTGCCAGGGGACCCAGCTGAGAGCACACCCGAGGCCATGCTGCCCAAGTGGGAAGTGGGGGAGCCTCAGGAAGGCCTTGAGCCACCAGCTGTGTCCCCACATACAAATAGCCATGACAGGCTGCCCTGGGTTGAGAACTTGCAGGGCAGCTGGAGGGAGGCCAGGTGGCCTTAGACCATTCTTGGGCTTCAATTTCCTGTTCCTTCCTGGCATCTGCACCAGTGTTCTACCTATAGCTGAAATCCCAAGAAATTCACCAGTCTGTATTTCCGGTTAGAAAATGTACCATGAAAAAGCAAAGGGCAAAAGTGAACCAGCTGAGAAAACGTTCCAGAGAAGCCTGCCCTGCACAGGGGCCCCCAGCATGTCTGCCCAACATCCCTCCATCCTGCCAGGAAAGCAGGGGCCTCTGGGGACCAAACACGGCCCAAGGACAGTGACTACATGAGTGCCTGCCCAAGCTGCTCCCTCGACACAGAGCTGGTGAGAGGCAGAGCTGGGAGCAGAGCCCACCTGCCTGCTCAAAGGCTCAGGAGACGCCCAGAAGGCCAGGTCAGGTGACCCAGAAGGGCCCTGCCAGAGACATCCGGGTGCCATGGGGCAGGGGTAAGGCTTCCCCGGTGTAGCCCGCAGAACCTGTCTCATATGCAGGGTGCTGCTGTCCTCTGGGGTCAAGCATCCAAGGCAGCAGCACTCCTCCCCATTCCTCCTTAATTTTCCTTCCAGACCACAAACCCTTCTCCACTGTCAAAGCTGGAGGAAGCCTAGGAGGGCTGGTCACTCTCTGGGTGCTCCCGGCCACGAGGCCAGGGCCCCATACTGCCTGGGCAGAGACCTCAAACCGAGGCCAGCCCAGCCTCCTGGGTCCGAGTGCCTCATTCTCTTCGCCCCAGAGCCGCTCTGAGAATTCAGAAAGACAAGCAGAGCAATGGACACAGTAAGCTGGGCTGGCCCCCCACCAGGCACCAGACAGGCTCCCAACCTTGGCCTGCAAGCCTACGGTGTTTTCTGTCCGGAGCATCGCTGCCTCTAGCCAGAGCAGAGCTGGGCAGCTCAGGTCACCCTCTGCTGAACCCGCAGTCCCAGCCCCGGGTCTGATGCCTTGCCCAGGCAGCCTCCCCCGACCCCTGCCCAGGGCCACCCACGCTCCACTCAAAAAGAGGACCAAGGCCACCAGGTCTCTGGGAAAAGCAAGAAGGTTTCCCTGCAGTGAGGCCCATGAGCTGGGCGCAACCAGTCACCCCACGAGGCTCAGGCACCTGCCTGCCACAAAAGTCTGCGACCCAAGGGCATCCTCGGCCCTGGAGAATAACCTGACCCCGAGTACTCTGAACAGGCTTCGCAAGGCCCAAGGAAGAGAGGAGAGACCTGCCCCATCAGCTCTGGTTTAGAAAGCTTCAGGCCTGACCCCCTGGATTCCACACCCACTCCCCACAATTCCAAATGCCAAAAGGCTCTGAAAGCAGCACTTTCTGTCAGTTTGGAGCAAACTCACCTGGCAGCAACATGTGACCTGAACTGATGTGTGGCTATTTATAGTCTTAATTTAACCTGCTGAATGTGAATATTCATGTCTTGCTCCAGAAATATTAATGTCTTAAACCACCGTGTTGCCCCAGACCTCAAAGAGAGTGTTGGCATAATTTAGTTTTTCAAAACCCAACTTCTTCTAAATTAAGAAACACAATCGAGCCTCTAGGCCAGTCCTGATCTGGCAAACTCCACAAGCTGCAGAACAGCCCCATCCCTGGCACCCGCTGAAGGGGGGACCCTGCCCTGGGAACAGCTGTACCACAGCTTCACCTTCTCTCCCCTCCAACTCCGCCATCCACGGGCTCAGACCTGCGCGGTGTCTCTCCCTTGTTCTTGCGCAAGAGGCCACAGTGGGGGGGAGGGGTGGAAGCTGGCAAAATTAGGGAACTGACTAATTCGTTAACCCCGACTCTAGCTCTGCAGTCAAAGTGGCCACTCACCCCGCTGACGTAGGCCCAGAGGTGGGCCCTGGGACAGTGCAGACCCAGCCACACCAGGCCCCACCCCACCAGTGACAGAGGAGGCTGGGAGGGGAGAGAGCTCTGAGCTGCCTGGGTACCCGGCAAGGAATGGTCCTCAAAGAACTGTCCTGAGGTGCCACAGGGGCCTGAGGCCCAGGGCCACACAGCTGGGAGTGGCGTGGCTGGGATCCGAGTCCAATGGGCGCCCCAGCCATGGGCACCGCTGCTCTGGGATAGGACCCCACCCAGCAGGCCTTGGCCCTCCCTCTGAGGCAGCCCCCAAGGCCATCACTGCCACACAGGGCTGGCCAGGGGCACCCAGC